TCTAACAGATTTTTAAGATCTTTGCCTTGTCTTTGGAATTTTGAGAATTTGATTAATGTGTATGTATGTATGAATCTATTTTTATTTATCTGGTTTGTGGCTGGGTACATTCTCTATATGGTATTCACAATCTTCCTCAAATATGAAAAAAATTTAGCCAGTATCTTGCAATTGTATCCATCTGGAATTCCTATTAGATATTGGCGTGCTTTCTCATTTTATTATTCTGTCTTTTAACTTTTATATCTCTTAATATAATGTGCTTATTCAGGAAAATTTCATCAGATATAATTCAGGCTGTTAATATTCTCTTAGATCATTTCTCTTTTCTGCTGAAAGTTTTCATTGAATTTTTAAATTTCAAAATGGTAGTTTCCTGTTTCACATGGCTATTTTCCATGTCTTTTATTTATTTTCACAACAGGTTACTCTTGGTTTCTATTTTCTCCATTTCCTTTGTATTTATTTTAAAAATAGTTATTTAATATTTTTCCTATTAAACTCTGAAAATTTTAGAATTCTATCCACATTGTAGTGTCCACTTATTCTTTGTCATTGGATAAATCTTGTGTGAGGCTTTATTATTCTATTAAAAAAGTGAATTAATTTCTTCTTAATGGGCCTTGTGTGTCCTGGCATTGACATGTGTACATTCATTTATAGAAGTTATATTTTGTGAGATTCATGCATCATGACTAGGATAAACTTAAGCCCATATTTATACATGCCTAAGCCTATTGTGTTGATTTGTCACAGTAGAGCAATCTTGTTTCTCCATTTTATCTAAATTCCTAGTCAAGCTCCACTCACTTCCCTGAGTACAATTTTCTTATTGCTTCATCAGTGAGAAAGGAGTTCTCTGGGGGTCTTTAGTTTATGTGAGATTTCAGTTCCAGATCTCTATAGTGTTTCAACCCAAGTACTTAACTATTAGAGACTTGATAAGGGGCCACCTTATCCATGGCATCAGTTCTTATTCTTTCTCTTCTGCTTAGAGTTCTCCTTCCTCTCTTACCCTTGAGAATTTTCAGTTTTTCACTTGTTGCTAATGAATATATTTAGAAATGTTTCTGATATACACGTAGAAAGTGGCCTTTAATATGTAAATGAATGGGAGTTAGAGACTATCTCATTTCAGTCAAAATTGTTGATATGAAGCAAATTGGTTTTTGAAATTTGACAATATTAAAAAGGGGGCAGCTATTAAGAATTTATTAGTATAGAACTTATTTTTATAGGTTTATAGAACCTATTTATTACTATAGAAGGGCAAATGTCTGCCCTTCATCTCCCTTTGTAGTATCACTTCCTAATAAATAAATTTTTTCCATTTATTTTATGCATTTCTACCTGCTTCATATCCAGTATCCTAATTAAATCATTTCCTTCCTATAACCACAATTACCAAAAATGCATTGTTCTTATATTGACTTTTATTGAATTTGAGTGACTAGTCCAACTAAATCTATATGAAAGTTATTTTTTGAAACAGAACAACAGAGCAAAAGACTTATTCTGATGTACCCCAGGACATGTAGTCACTGTACAATATAATTGAGAAAAATCACAGGATCAGAAATTAAGCGTTTTTAGGCCTTGGTTAGGGAGGATTTCATTCCATAATGGACATAGTGCAGCTGCTCTAACATTACTTAAGTCTAGTTATGGGATTAGATTTCTCAGGCAAGTCAGCTATATCTAATATGTAAATTTATGCATTTCCTTGTCCTTTCCATTTCATGTCCTCTTCCATTAAAATGCATTTCCATGTCCTTTCCATTTCAGAAAATGGAAAGCCTTAACAGAGTTAAATAAGTGGATCAATTTGATTTTAGTGCATGGTTGATAACAGTAAGAATCAATGAGATTAAAGTGAGTGAAATCATTGGTTACAAAAAACTTGAGGATAAAAACATATAGAAGTATGATTACTTATAGGTTGACCGATATGTTAGTGGGTCTGAATATTCAGGGTTTGGAAGAACTGTTGCATAGGAGATATTTAAGAAAACCTTCATAGAATGAATTAATTTTGGAAAAAAAAAATTGAGGTTGGACTCCAGGATGGACAAGATAGATTTGCTTTGTCAAGGGAGAGAGTAGGAGACAGATAATATTGATTAGAAACTTAAGTGTAGGGAACATCAAAAAACTTTACACGTGAAGATAACTAGCTATATAATATCAGTCAGGCAAATTTGTTTTTTAAATTTTTTATTATGGATTTTTTTACAACTTTAATATTTTGGCAATATAGGATTTCTCCTATATTGGTGTGGTCATCATTTCTCTCCCACCAGCAAAGCACCTATTGCCCTCTACCACAATCCGTTGTGCTCTCAGCTCCCTGCTTCTCATCCCTTGGTTTCATATCCCTTCTTACATATGGTCAGGGAATTTTGAAACCACCCAAGGGAGAGGGAAACAAAAGCATGTGAGAAATTAATCCAAAGCATATCTCTTAAATCCAGGTTTTCATAGTGGCTTTTAAAAGATGAGAACTAGTTTGAATGAAGTCAAGATAAGAATTGGCTATTCCTGTACTCAGAACCTCCTTAGAATGTTGTCAAACCTCTGCATTTGTTTCTTACAAATTAAATGGAAAAGAGGGGGATATTTTACATTGAAAATCCCCTTTCGGGATCTTAAGAAATTTCATGATGACTTGTGCTGGGCCTAAGCCAAAATAGTAATAGAGATTCTGGAAACTTTCCTTGTAGACATTTTATTGGAAATTAAAATTAAGAAAGAATGAAGGGTCCATTTTCCAGTATGACTTTCTAACATCTTGCTTCTTATAGTGCACATCAGTAATGAGGTTTGGAACAAATCAAGAGATGCTGTGTAGTTGGAATGATTTATTTTTTAGAAAACTTGTGAAAATAAAGGTCCAAATGTAAAAGTAATAATTACAGGAATCATGAATTTAATGCCTTTGAAAATTACAGAGATCATTTACTATTTGCAACTATGAGAAGCTTTTAACTTAATAGACTTAGATCTCCATAACATCCATAATGCAGAATTTTTTATTTCAAAGTATGGGAGTCTCACATGAAAAGAGAAATGAAATAAATGGTCTAAGATCCATTATAAAGTCTCAGAAAATATAAATGCATAGGAAATATCAGAATTTAATTTTAAAAATTTAAACTTTTGATGTCAATTACATGTCTATAGTTTTATAGTGTTTTCCTCTCAACTGTTATTTCCCTTCTCGTGCAGATTGGTAGATCTTATATGTTGGAATGCATGAGAATTATGTGATATGCATATTTAAAATGCTTGCTATAGAGGCCTCTCTGGTGGCACAGGGGTTAAAGACAGTGCTACCAAACTATTGCAAGCCACTGCAGCACGAATTCTATCCCAGGCCAGCCAGGGAGCTACCCACATGGTGCAGCAGACCTCTCCTGTCACACCTACTGCTCCCCTAAGCAATGTATTTCAGTAGATCTGCTTGTTCTGCTCCCCACTCTCTTTGGTGAATGCTCTCACCCCCCATACCTCTGGCCTTACCTCAGTTCTTATATGCATAAATAAATAAAAAGATCTTAAAAAAAATGCTTGCCCACTCCCAAAGATTCTGATTTAAGTAAGTTTGGCATGGAACTCAGCAATAGAATTTTTTGTATCTTGGCTTCAGGGTACATTTTGAGATGTTTCTCAAAATCTTTGCAGAATGGAAGATGAAATTGTTCCTAAAACTTTCAGAGTGGAAGTGAACAAAATGGAAATATTTTAAAAACTGTATGGTAAGAGCAATATTGCCAGAACAAAAGCACATACCCTTCATTATGAATTAAATAGCCATTATACATTAGCAGTATGACAATTGTTTCCTAGGAGACTAACGTACTTTTGTGTCTGGAAATATGCATTTTGAGAACCATTTAGTTTGTTTTAATCCATGTTAAAAATTAGTAAATGAGAAAAAAAATTCAAGAACAATGCATGTAATACTGTATTATAATATGGTGCATGGTAGATAGGAGAAACTGAAAGAGTTTATTTCCAAGAGGTTGATGGACTGTGATACTATCAAGCTTATGGACAGATTTATCAAAAAGCTTGGTGAATTTATAGAATTGTAACCTGATTTCTCAGGAAAAAACCTAAGGTGCAAATAGTGAATTGAAATCTTCAAAACAGTCTCACTCTGTAACATTATTTTTTCCTGAAATACAATGTGATTATGTGGAAGTCAATTCCTTAGAAATCCCACATTTCAGAAACATGGGACTCCAAATAATGATTAGTGAGCTAATTTAATCACCTCCAATTTATTTCATAGATTTGTGTTTATGTCTAGTGAAAGTGTGTTAGAAATGACTTAGACCAAAGATGCAATTTGATTGGTTAATGAAGAGTCTAAGAGTGGTAATTGAATTTGATGGAATTCATTAGTTAAGACAGTGAAGCAGATACTTTACATATGTAATAGTCACAATGTAATGTATGTACGCCATTGTTAAATTAGCCTTATATGTAGGAATAAGACAGCATGGCACTAAGAAACATCAGTCTGAGAAAAACTGTGCCTCTACTCTTACCCCTTTACCCAATATTCTTGTTAAAATATCATCTGTACAGTAGGGCACAAAAGCACAGAGGCAGATGCCATGGCATATTCTTTTAGAATGCAAGGCTGCTCAAGATCATCTACAGATAATGAACCATGACAACTTTGGATTTGATGAAATACAAAATGAAAGTGGGAGAAAGCAGAACTTATACAAGAGGCCAGCATACAATCAACGAAACTGATGCTTCAAGGACATCAATACTAGCAATGCTAATATTTCCTTTGATATCATAATACCTTGTTTTAAAGAGACACAGACCTCCAATGTTCTGCACAAATACTCCCTTCACATCACTGTGCATGTGTGTGTTCAAATGCACATACACCCCCCCACACACATATATATACATATATATATGCAATACTGTGGGGGGATGATGATCAAATCTTTCAAAAGTTTTTATATTCCAAATACCTTAGAGAGTTGAGTTGCAATTTCCAGAGTGAAGCAATAGGCAAATAAACTGTCTTCCAGTTTGAATCCAGATGTTTGTCACTCAAATTCTTGCAAGTTCTTGTTTTCCTGTTGTTCCCTAGAGAGAGAAAAATCATCCATGAAAATGCTGGCCTGTAACTCTGCCCTTGCCTTTACCAGTGACTGAATCTAAAGACTTCTGCTTAGGTAGCCCATTTATTATTCACATCCTGCTTTTGTTTCCTCCATTCCTGGTTGTGCTAAGTGCTCCAGGCTAAGAACCAATAGGTATGAATTATACTGACATTAAAGAATTCTGGAAGAATGTTTCACTAAAATGAGTTTTTCATATTTCTTCTGTCATAGACTGTACAATGGCATTGGTGTATAGAGGAGAAATAGCATGTGCTGCCACGGAAGGCACCCAGTGGGATTATCAACCACAGGGAATTATCTCTAAGCAATTCACACTTTGTTTTGCTAACAAGACTCCTTGTTAGGATACTCGAGTGCCATCCCTCTCTGGCAATGTTCCCCCACCTTTCAGAATTATTGAAAAGCTAACTGAGTCTATTTTGATTTGTGAATCTCTTTGTAAGCAACAGCAGCTGCAGCAGGGCTAATACAAAGGAAAGACATTGCTATTTACCTAGGAAGGATGTTTAAATACTGCAATACAAAAATATCTGCGTTGTGGACAGGCTCAATCAAATATTTTAAGTTTTCTTTCTTCTTTGCTTCCTTTGTCTTTTCTTCCTCTCTCCCTTTTCTATCCATTCAATTTGTTTCTTCTGTAATTCTTTCTGCCTTTCTTAATAGAACCTTTTGCATTTACTTATTGATTGTTGTAGAGTAAACCACTATCTCATACTTCAGGTTTTAAAGTGATTTTAGAATATGAAATCTGAAAACACTGAGTTAAGTAGGATAATTCTTTCACAAGTGTAGAAACAGAGGTAGGGAGACTTGGAGTTATCAGCTGAGTCATGTAGTTGCAATTAAGATTGGAGGCTTTGCAGATTTCAGTGACTCTGATACCGATCAGACTAATCTGCTCTCTTTACTGTTTGGTTTTCAATTCTCCAGTGGAAGTTAACATGGCAACACCCTGTTATTTGATGATTCAAGTTTTCCTACTACAACATAAATGAATACACAATCCCCTGCAGTTCTCATTATATTCCGAATAGAATTTTATAGTTCCTCTGCAGTTATAAAGGAGTCCTATTTGTCAGCTAATGGATCTGTTCCAAATCATCCTGGAATAAATCCACATAGGAAAATCTTCTGAGGGTTTACCAGGTTTGGGAAAACCTTAGTGTGTAACAGATATTACAGAAGAGAGCATCATTCCCTGAGTGGCTACTGAGTTCCATTTTGCCTGGCTATGTTAGACAAGGGATGGTTAAATCCTGTCTGTTTCCATTGAAAGCATTAATTTGTTATCTGTGATTCATTAAATGATTATTAATTGATTATATACTATTTAGCTTTTATTGCCAGATGTTAGGGATGGAAAGAGGAAAATACAGGTTTTTGTCTCTAAAAGAGGGAGATAAATTGATAAATTACTGTAAATTGATAAATGAACAGTAGAGATTTAGGATATCCTAAACCATGGAAAAGGATTCTTCCTATTCCTGAAAGAAGTAGAAGGCATCAGCACATGTGTTTATGTGCATATGTGGGTACCCTTTAGATGTGACTTGAGGTGATCTAAGAAAGTTTGAAGCAATTGCTATCTAGAATTATTTGATGGTTTACATAATTGTAATCTTTTTTGAACAGTGATTTCAAGCATAAAGTAGTTCTTCCCTCCAGGAAGCATTTAAAATCTCGGTCCCATAGCTACATGTCTCGGAAAGTATCTGATTCCTGAGAGAGTACAACCACCAGAGTCATTTTCTACATGTTGGAGGGAATACATGAGTTGTTAATGTACACCCATTCTGGAAGCCAAATAGCAAAGATTAAAAAGCATCTGTCATTGGGACTGTGAGCCTACAAGCAAGCAGTATACTTCCAGCAGAGACTAGGGCAGGAACATTTTGTAACATAGATTTAAAAACACAAGAATTGAACTGGAACCACTTGCTCAGTTACAGGGTTTAAAAGATATTAGCAGCTCTCACCAGAAAGAGCCTACTATGCTGTGTGTTACATAGAGCCAGGTGCTATGAACCAAAGATATTTTTGGTGGAAATCCATTTTTTAATTCTCGCAGAAACAATTTTCTAAATGCAAAGTTTTTATCAGGGTACAAAACACTGAAATTTCATCAGCCAAAAACAGCTGCCTTCAGCACCTCCTCCTCTAAGCCCACAGAGCTTTGCAAATTACCAAAAGAAATAATGAATACATACACACAAAGAGCATATATTATTACATAATGTGAACCATAAGAAGTTAGGAAAAAGACAGGAAAACATGCTAGGAAAAAGAGGTCCGTGATACATTCTGCAAAGTTGACATGCATGCAGAAATCACTTTGAAATTACTTGGATGTAGAGGTAAAGGACTTCCTTACAAGGTGGGGCAATGTGTGTTTGAGGTACCAAGGCAGGAAGGACTTTTACATGTTTCAGAAGCAACAACAAAAGGAAGGTCAATGTGGCTGTAAAACAGTAAGTATGGGGGGTGTTAGGGCCAGAGGCAGGCAAGAATTTGCTCCTGCTCAGGGTTGTAGGTGAAGGGCCAAGAGAAAGCACTGAAGGGATCTAATCCCTTTAGTTATTCTTTAAATAATGACTTGAGTGGGGAAATTCATAGTGGTCTTTAAAAAGTTCTTTTACCTCTTTTCAGGAATAAAATTGATCTTCTTGATCAAAAAAAAAAATGTTCTGGTTCCCTAATACATACTAGGTTGATTTGCTTTGTTATAATTGATGCTATATTTTCATAGTAATTATCATCACATTTTTTTCCTGCTATATCTTTTAGAGCTAAGTTTTTTCCCATTTGGTTTACTGATATATGTCTAGGACCTAGAATGTCATTGGGCCAAGACTAATAAAAATATATCTTGAGTGTATAAGTGAATGGGTGATTTTGAAAATGATAGCATATTAGACTAACAACATGCGCTCTTGTTATATTTGTCATTAAAAACTGTCTTTAGAATAGTTGGACTTTATGACAAAGGTATTAATGAGAGCAATCTGATCAAGTTGTGAAACAACATAAATGCTCAAAGAGAGATGAGTGGATTAGGAAGATGTAGTATATATGCAAAATAGAATAGCATTCAGTTGCCAAAAACAAACTTTTGGCTTTTGTGACAACAAGGATGGAACTAGAGGAGAAAATGCTGAGTGAGATAAAGCAGAAGGAGAAAGACAAATACTGCATGGTGCCACTTATATGTGAAATGTGGAGAAAGAAAAGAAGGGGTCAGATCAAAACAAATCAATAACAAATCCTAAATTTCTGACTGTAAAATTGAGGCCACCAGAAGGTGGGGAAAGTTGGAAAGTATGGAGGAGGCACAGTGCACTATTTTGGAGGACAATGGATGCACTGGTGCTTGGTATGATATGGTAACATAAATTTGAAGGGTGTCATCCTAGACCTGTTAATCAAATACAGTGTTGTAAACTGATGTTACCTCAATAAAAAAAAAAAAAAAACCACCCACCTAGATGGTCAAGCAAATGCATATAAAAGAAGAGGAAGCAAACTTGATAGAAAAAATATTTACTTCTAACTAATGTACTACTTTTAGATTTTAAGTTTAATGAAGTCAGCAAACTCACTTGATATAACACTCCAGTTCCCTTTATTATGAGTTTAGAAATAAGTACCAAATGTAGGTCTCTGACACCTTTTATTTGACAGGATCTTAAAGATACATATAAAAATATACTTTTATGCCACAGGTATGGTTTCATATAATTTATGGATTCAGAATTTTAATACTGTTAACACAGAGTGAGATATTTCTTAATTTGTCAATAATTATTTAATTATTTCTGTATATATACTATTTTGGGAGATTAGATATAAATTTCTATAATATACTGAATAGTTTAAATAATCTAGAGCTTATTATTATGTGCTTAAGAAAGGATTTTCCAAGAGAAGCTACCAAAGGTTATTTGCTTATGGTGCCTTAAATTTCAGCTTATGCGTGTTCATTTTTTTCATGGTGTAATTTTTATTTTATTTTTTTAAATTTTAATTTTATTTTTATATTTCCCATACAATTGCAACCCCATTATTTTGACCCCAACCCCTCCTTTTCCCGCACCCCATCCCCCATAGAGTGTCTCTGGTTCATAGTTGTTTGTTGATTTTGATTTTTACTTTCTTATAGTTATTTTTTTTCCTGGTCTCTTATTTAAGTTTTCTAGATTCCTGCTATGAGTGAGACCATCTGGTATTTTTCTTGTTCTTTCTGGCTTATTTCGCTGAACATGATCCCTTCCAGTGCCATCCATGTTGCTGCAAATTGCATGTGTTTATCTTTTTTGAATGCTGAATGGTATAATTTTTAAATGGCTAACTTGAGGATTGGTTTAATATGGAATATTAACTTCATCGTAGTCAGAGTAGGTTAGAAGAGTCAGTGAAGTCTGATATAGGAAATATAAATTATTAAGTTATGATAAATTACCTCAGGTTTTGACCTAATGGGCAAACAAATCACAAAAAAATTACCAGCCAATGCCCCCAAGGTATGAACACTTACAGCATTATTTCATTAGAATATTTCTTGTTTGTAGATGCCCTATAGGATATTGTATAAGAATCATCTTGTTGGAAATGTACAAAGGCAAAAAGTAGGGGATAAGGAAATAGACCTAGGCTTTTACTTGCAGTCTTCCATTTAGGGCAATCATTTTCAAATTAATGTGCAAACACAGAATGCAGAAATATTTGGGGAATTACCTAGTTTTTGGTGTTAATATCTATTGGTAAGGCCTAGAGCTCCAGTAAGTGTTCAAACCCTGGAATACTATGCAAAAGTGAATGCATTTATGTATGTGTATATTTTCATTAGATATCCAAAAGGGATCAATGATTCTGCTCCTAGAAAAATGTTTAGTAATGGAAGTTCCTTTGCCCAAGATCTCACAGCTTAGTAGTAGTATAGTGGAAGTTAACATTCATGTTTTTTGG